CTACAGTTGTCATTTACAATGAAATAAAGTGTGTATATTTATGCACAATTTCTAAGCACATCAAACAGTACACACTAAAGTTTTTGTGGATTTTTTTACCCACAATGTAAAACAACACAAAATTCATCAACAAGCAGTATTTTAAACAACCTTCAATGCCTATTTTCAGCTTTTTTTTGGGTAGTACAGGTTTACATCTTTCAGTTTCTACTTATTTGTAACAGCTTATGGAAAAACTTAACATAAATCATTTTACAAATAAGTACAGCCATCACGGAAATGCATGGATTTTCAGAGATGAATAGTTCTGATGGGATCTGCCTTTTCAAGGTATAACTACTGGTCCGTGCTCTCTTGCTTTACAGCAAGAAGACAACAAAGCTATCACAAGAATTGGAAGAGCTACTAGTACTATCAACATGTTCAGGTTGATTGCTTTGACATTTTCTTCCTCATTCTGGGAAATAAAAAGCTTTGGATTTCATTATTTAGTTGAATAAGAGGTCCATTCTTTGCTTTAAACCTCTTCCATTTTAATTGAGAGGTTTTCTTCATTTGGTTGACAGTTCCCATTCTGTTGTAGTTTGACTTCATCTGTCCTTTGTGTATCTCTGTTGTCTACTTCTTTGTCAGTTTCTGAATTCTGATCCTCTTTAGTGTGATCTTTGTCCTATCAAAGATGAAATTATTTTACAAAAAAATCACACTCTTAGCATTATAGGATATGACATCCAACCAACTCTTGGTATTTTTATCGTCTGAATCTTTATATGCATATCTTGTCTCAGGAATTCTTAGAGGTGTTAGCTTATTTTCCTTTTTTTTAAAAAAAAAGTTCTTTTCAATTGGGTGACGTTAGGCACTTATAACAACCCGCCATCCAAGAAATCATTGCCATAAAGTGATCTCTCCTTATCATCAATATTCAGAAAAAACAGCAAGTAGCATCATGGAACTTAGGAAAAACATATCCAGAAATGAAGATTTCACCATATTTTATAAATAAAATAGGATGAAATTTTTTCTTTCTTATTTTTTGTCAGGTATCTGACTCATTTTAAGAGAGTTCCTGGGCAAGGACAGAGTCACCTAAGCCAGCTGTTTTATGACAGCTGAATAATTCTGAGTATAACAAACTACTCTTCAAAGGTATGCTGCTTTTCAAATTCTAAGATTACACAATTTGAAGGTGTTTCTTTTCTTAAACACACCACATTCTATTTTGGAGAGGAAAATCCCATACCACTCTTCCCCAACTCTTCAACTTTATTCCTGCAGAGTCCAATATGCAGACCGGGACCAAAGCAAGCAAGGAGAGGTGAAACTGCAGAGTGAAAGTTTATTCAAAAGGTAGTATTTTCAGCTTGACCACCAAGCTGTCCCTGAACACTGCTCCTGAGTTCCACAGTCTGCCTCCTACCTGCTCATACAGATAGGCAGCCATCCAAGTCCATATGGCATAGAACAGGAACTAGAAACCAAAACAAAGTGTTTCCATGACCTAGTCACACAAGCTCCTACAGGTCCAGTAAAGTTCAAGCTTGCAGACTGATCAAACTGGTCCACTAACACCAACTGCAGGTCTCCAACTGGCAAAAATTAAACCCAAATAGTAATAATTTGTTAAGGAAAACATGAGAAAAAGAACGTAGGAGGAAAAGGAAGAAAAAGAAGGGAAGGAATTTCAATAATGGTTCCACTAGCACCACTTCACTCTGCTTATCGCTTGGTCACACAGCTTACCTTCAAAGTAGCGGTACTTTTGTCAGATATCTCCTTTCCCTCTTTTTCTTTACTACTTTTTTTCTTGGAGGTGGAGCGTTCTCTTTCTCTTCTTTCATTATTTGTATCTCTTTCTCTTTTTTTTTCTTTCTTGTTTCTATTTAAGAAAATTTTTACTCAGATCAGAATTTGATGCAACAGAACAACCTTCAAACCATTTAACTACAAACTAAACTCTCATCTGTGGATTTTCAAAAAAAACCCCAAAATACAACAAAACCCCCTTCCATAAAGACAAGGGGATTTTTTTCACTGAAGAGAGCTAAAGAATGCATGTGTTTCAGTACATATGGTATTTGCAAAGAGAAAACCAAATTAATCGTATCCGATGAACAGCTTTTATTGATTTGAAGCAAATCTGCATTCCTGACAGATGTGAAACTCTCTAGCTGAAAGCATACCAAAGCTCAAATCCAGGAAGGTTTTTGGTTTGGTTTGTTTTTAAATTAAAACTGAATCATACTGACCAACTGAAATAATCTGAGATGATTAGTGCAAAGGCAGTAAAGCAATGAAAATACTGTAAATTCTTCCTCCCTTACTGCTCATTAACTTTTGTTTATGTTAAACTGACCTTCTTGGAGAAGGAGTTCGTGAAGATTTTCTTTTTGTTGTTTTGGATGTTTTAGGAGACTTGGAGGGACTTCTACTCTTCCTTTTACGCCTTTCTCTACAGGATCAAGAAATTCAAGAACATCAAAGAATACAAATAATAAACTCAGGAACCAGATAAAATCAGAAAGCTCTTAAAATGATCTGACACAACAACTAAGAAAATATCCCTGAATTTAACATTATATCTCACCAAAAATATATGAACTGTACAAAGTAAAAAAGTTCCTATGTTTTGGTTTGGTGAGAAAGGGGAGGCTGAAATGGGAAAAAAGAGGTTGTGCCCTTTCAGATTTTAGTTTTTGTTTATCTTCACATCCTTGTAAAAATACCTGTTAACAACTGAAATACCTGGTTACCTCATACCTGGTAACAACTGAAACACACAATTCACTAATCCTGTATTAAGAAGGAGTTTCTTCAGCCAGGAAAAGAATCCAACTGAATGAAGAGTCACATTAAGACAAAAGGCATAACTTCAAAATGTGACATTACAACCTGAAGATCACTGGAATTTCAGTGCAACCTGATTGAAGTTTAATTCTGAAATACATGAGCTAGCATTCCTGTTGGTTTAGAAGCAAACAGTGCAAAATGAAGCTAAAGCTGCTATCAAAATCAGAATAAGTTAATACCTACTGTTTTCCTAGCAGTCCTTGCTCAGCGAACAGCATGTTATCATTCCGTAACACACTGAAGAGCTCACAATACTTTAGAAAACAGCTGTTTTACATAGATTCATGGAATTTGCTGAAGTTGCTATTACGGAAACTGACATGGAATAGAACATTAAATAACTGCTTGCAAACATACCGAGGCACACATTAAAACAAGCCAGTACACCTTCATTCAAAATAAACGTAGAACCTATCTCTGTCAAAGTAGATTACTTTGTCCTATCACCTCTTCACATAGCAGGGAAAGTAGACAGAAAGAACCATCAAAGAAAAACAGGGAAGTTAAAAACTAATTGAGAGGGCACATAAAGATACGGCACAAAAACTACACTTACATGTACCAGCTTTTGCAATTCACACCATTAGGTGTGAATATTCATATATTCAATATTTAGAAAGGCCAAGAAGCCAACAGTTATTAGGTAAATTACAGAAGGATATATTAAGATATGCCTCGTATCACTACCTGGATTGATATCCTAACAGCATCACCTACTGTTGTGGTTTTGTGTGGTGGGTTTTGTCTGGTAGCAGGGAGGGGCTACAGTGGCAGCCCCTGTAAGTAACTGCTAAGAGTTCCCCTAGCTCCGCGCCTGCTCTGGTGGCAAGGGAGGGGTTACAGTGGTGGCTCCTGTAAGTGACTGCTAAGGGTTCAACACCCCCCTCCCCCGCAGGGGTTTAGTAACCGGGAGGAGGACTGGGGGAAGGAGTACCATGGATCCAGCCCCCGTGAGAAACTGCTGGAAGTTTCCCCAGCTTCAGGCTGGACCCACCCCAGGCCAGGGCTGAGCCATTCAGTCCCTCTGACAATAACATATTGAAGAGGGGGCACGGAACAATGGGGTTGGCGCAGACCCGGGCAGGGCTCAGCTTGGGGGGACCAGCCTGGCTGCCCAACCGCCTGCCCAGCTTCTGGAAACCAACCTGCCATAGCCCAAGCCTCCGCCACAGATCACCCGAGACGGGAGCCAACGGAAGACCTGTGACGGAAAGAGAAGCAGGATTTTGAGAGAGACGGACACGCAGGCACTCAGTCAGAGAACAGGAGCGATAGGAAAGGGAGCGGCCCCGGAATTTTCCCTGCAGCGTCGTGAAGGTTCATGGTGACGCACGGTTTGTCCCTTGGTGCAGCCCATGAGAAGATGCAGCCGTGGAGGACACCACGTTGGATTGGAGAAGCCAACGCCGGAGCTGGGCAGTCATCGGGGGACTGTGTCCCCGTGTGGAAAAGGACTCGCACCGGAGAAGTTCTTGAGAAGGACTGTCCTGTGAGAAGGGACCCCACGCTGGAGCCGGGAAAGACTGTGAGGAGCCGGGAAAGGCTGTGAGGAGCCTTGCCCTGAGGAGGAAGGAGCGGTGGACTGACTGCACCCCCCATTCCCTACCCCCCTGTGCCGCCGGAGGGGGAGAAGGTACAGAACAAAGTCTTTGGGCTTTGGGAAGAAGGGAGGGGGGGGGGAGAAGTGCCTCTTTAAGATGTGGTTTCTCTCTCTCAGTATCTTGCTTCTTGTTGTAAACAGTTAATAAATTCAATTGGGTTTTTTTTGTTCTTCCCAAGTCGTGTCGGTTTCTTGCCCGTGACCCTAAGTGGTGAGTGAAACCCGCCCTGTCCCTGCCTCAGCCCACCAGCTGTTTAACAGAGGACTGTCCCTGTGGCCTTTCTAAACCATGACATCTACCATGACCTCCTGAAGCTGCACAGGACAAAATTTCACAACTACTTTTTTTCAGCAAGCTCTTAATTCGATCTTTGGTAAACAAAAACATGAAGTGGCCTCAAAATCATGGAGAAAATAACACAATCACTGATCAGCTGTTCACTAGTTAACATGCAACTCACTTTAAACATCTTCACATTTATCATCAACTTTTTTTCAAATGAGGTTACTGGAAATTGACACATTATTCTGGCAGTGCTCCCATTTGGGCTACATTGAGTACATTCCCACTTTATCTTGTTTTCCGGCATACATGTGAGTAACCAAGTGCTTTAGTAATTGTGTTCAAACTAGAAACTGTTTATTCAAGAAATTTAATTTTCAGTTTCTGCTTTTCATATTTCATGTTGAAGAACTACAACTGTGTCTGACAGTATTTGTTCCCATCTCTATTACGTTTATCTACACACAGATTTTTGTGCACCTGTTTTTTTAATGCTCTTAAGCAGTACAGCAAAATGTAAGAAAAAACAAGTCTGAATACTTTGAGAGTGAGCCTGTGTCTCTCAATCATACACAGAACTAATATGATAGCCTCTTCTCCTCTGATAGCCTGTAGATATCTCTTGGAAAAGGAGCCAGATCCTCCTCTTCCTCTGGTCTGTGTCCCTTCCTTCAGCTAAGAACCACAAATAGACACCTGATTTCTAGTACCTGCATGCTGTCTATCAGGAAAGCAAGGTCAGTTGCCACCTAGTTCTTAGAAGGTCCTGTATGTCCTATTCCACCTCCACCTCTTCTCCAAAAAGATGACTAATTGTCCAATATTTTACACTTGTCAGGTAAAGGATCAGTATCTTCAAAAACAGTCCCAAGTCAGTGCTGCACTGTAAATCCAGGCAGCTAAAATGCCAATTTGTTGGATAATCTTCCCCAGAAAGGTTTGTAACCATTTCAACTAGGCAACATCAATCACCAAAGTAAACAGATGCCCCTAAATGCAACCTAACTGGAACTCTGTAGCCCCAAGTATTCACAATTACTTTTCAGAGAATAACAGAATTAGTGAGGCTGGAAGAGCCCTCTGGTGACCCTTCTCCCTCCCCCACCTTAAAACAGGATCAACTAGAGCAAGTTACTCAGGGCCACATCCAGTCAGATTTTTAATATCTCCGCGGATGGAGACTCCACAATCTCTCAGGGTAACTGGTTCCAGTTTGCCCAGAAAAAACCACAACTTAAACATTAGAAAAAAGCCTTTATTTCCCTTATGTCAATATGTGCCTACTGCCTCCTAGCCTGTCACTGGCCCCCACTGAAAAGTCTGGTTCTGTCTTCTTCACACTCTCCCATCAGGTATTCACATGCATTGATAAGATGCACCCTCAGCATTCTCTTCACCAAGATAAACAATCTCAGCTCCCTCAGTCTCTCCTTGTGTGACAGATGCTCCAAGCCCTTTACCAGTTTTGTGGTCCTTCACTGGACTCACTCAGATATGTCTGTCTCTTGTAATCAGCAGCCCAGAACTGGACAAAGGATTCTAGATGTGGCCTCACCAGTGCTGAGGAGAGGGAAAGAATCATCTTCCTTGACCTGCTCACAACAGTCTGTCTAATGCAGCTCAGCATACTGCTGGCCTTCCTGGCTGCACAGACCCCCAGCTCCTTTTCTGCCAGGCAGCCTTCCAGACAGTCAGTCCACATGCTGTACTGGTGCAACGGAGTTATTCCTGCTCAGGTGCAGGACTTGGCCTTTCTCTTCGTTCAAGTCCATGAGTTGCCTGCCAGTCCATTCCTCCTGTCTGTCCAGGGTTCTCTGAATGGCAGCACATTTCTCTGGTGAACCAGCCTTTCCCCTAAGTTCTGCATTGTCTGCAAACTTGCCAAGGGTACACTCTGTCCCACTCTCTTGGCCACTGACGAAGATGTTCAGCAGTACTGGCCCCAGTAAACAACTGAGATACATTCACCTTCTGACTGGCTAGTCAGCCAGCTGATATTCTTGCTTCCTGCTGTTCAGCAATCCAGCTGAAGAGTGGCAAGTACCCAACTGTCCCTAAGATCTACAGACCAACACTGTACAGTATGAAAGTAACCAAGGAACTATGTAAGAGTGACTCAAACTTTCACCAGGACAGAGATGATGTGTGATGTCGCTTTTATCAGAATTTCTGGATGGCTCCAACACAGAGAAACGGCACAAGAATTATCTACTTACTGTCCTCAAGGACTATACTATGCGGTTATGTGAAAGACAAGCACCAGCCACCCAACAAGAAACTATGTTCTATCAGGCATCATCATATAGAGCAATCTGTAATAGACTTTATAGGAAAATCCACAAAACAGAAATATTACAAATTTAATTAGTAAGACACATGGTGATATTGATACATAAAAACTAGGATGGTGCCTCACTGAACTGACAAGTCAAAAAAAGCATGAACAAATTCTAAACAAACCTGCTGGAGCTACGAGATCTTCTTGAAGAGCTATAGCTTCTTGGGGGTGTTCTGGATCTTTTATCTTTCTTCTTTTTATCATCTCTCTCTTTTTCTCTTTCTCGCTCCTTCTCCTTATCGCCATCTTTTTCCTTTTCTTTGTCCTTCTCTTTGTCCTTATCTCCCTCTTTGTCCTTAATCTTCTCTCTGTCCTTCTCTCCTTCTTTCTCAATATCTTCTTTTTCCTTGTTCTGGTCTATCTCTTCCCTGTCTTTTTCCTTCTCCTTATCTTTCTCATTTTCCCTGTCCCTATCTTTGTCCTTATCCTTGTCCCTGTCCCTATCCTTGTCTTTGTCTCTGGCTCTCTCTCTATCTTTGTTTCGTTCTTTATCTCTCTCCCTGTCCTTCTCTTTGTCCTTCTCCCTGTTTCTCTCTTTATCTCGCTATGCCTCTGTCTCGGTCTCTCTCCTTCTCCTTGTCTCGGTCTCTTTCCTTCTCCTTTTCTTTGGCCTTTTCTTTTTCTTTGACCTTTTCTTTGTCTCTTTTCTTGTCCCTGTGAAAAGCCAAACAGAAATATGTTAATTCATCTTTGAACTTTCCAATTAAAATTATTACTAACTCTTTCTCATACAGTAACTGCTCAAGATAAAGTACGTGTCTCTGTTGAAAAACAGCAATTATTAATTTTTTAAAATTTTCCACCCCTGTTCACCATGAGGGAAAGGTTATATAGCTAGGAAAAATCTGTAAACCAAATTGGAGAAGGGGAGGCCAAAATCAAATCAAATTGTGATATTCAGAGCGATATTACTTATTGAGAGAATATGTCTCTTCACCTCACAGTTATGTTATTATACATACATAAATTTTCCACATTTTGTCAGGAGTGAGACAAACTCTACAATCTGTAACTCCACTTTTTACTAAAAGTGTGTACACATAAAATGGGCTGCAGATTAACCACCCCCATATGAATAACGACAAGTCTTTATTCTGCAGTGTTCTCTCACACAGATACCCGGAACTTCTTAAAAGTCCAACAAAAATTTATACATAGAAATAAAAAAACAGGGATAAAATTTCACCAAATTCCCTCAAAAAGCAAATGTAAGGTCAAAACTCAACCAAGACAATTCGCTCATCATCAAGGAGAATAAAACAAGTCAGCTTCTTTGGGACAGCAGAATGATAAATATTCATAAAAAGAACAGTGAGGAAAATTCCAACTGATGTTCTGGTCATAAAGCCAAAGAAAAATTGACTAGATCACAGCTTCGGCTATAAGATTTCAGTTTCACATAGGATTATTCAGAAGTCCGCGACTCCATCCTTCCTTTCTAGCTGAGAGACACAAGACGCCTAGACCTGACTCTAGGACAGATGAAAAGAACCATTACTCAGGCAGAGAAACAGGAGAAAGTACAAGAGGAGAAGTTGATTACCAGGCCTTTACATGTCCAAGAGAACCAGACTGACAGAAGTTGCTGTGTCTATCAGTATTTGTACCTGTTCTAGGATTTTAAAAGATTCTCAAAGAGGCTCCTTCACACATGAAACGTCCCAAGCACAGCCACACCTTCCTTCAACAGAAGAAGTGTTCGGCTGTATCTTCTAAACTGCTAATAAACTGTAGGCTCTTATATGCTCTGTGACCTGACAACTTTGGTTCCCACCAGGTTTTGGCAAATACTACTTCAAATCTCAGAGAAGGAATGTAAGAAGGAAAGAAGAAACAGCACACAATCTCTGCAGTAGCAAAGTCTCACCATGACCCAAGAAGTGCCTTCCCAGTTAATTTATCACAGATTTAATTGGACTTGCCCCTTCCAGTGAGCCAATATCTCAAGAAGCTCCAGATACAGCAGCAGAGAACTGAAAGGATCCATCAATAAAGCTCAGGTAGCTACACAGCCTATTCCTGTTTTCACTGAGGTCCAGAGATCTGCAGTTCTCTTTCCCACAAAACTTCTTCCCTCAAAAAACAAGAGGTAACTGTACCATCTAAGTATGAAGCGCCCTTTAAATTAATCAAGGGAATTACAGAGATGAAACAGAAATACTAAGACTTCTATTCATTAATCTATTTTCATAAGCACTTTTGTTTGGTGAATATTCACTACTTCATCCCTCAGAAAATTATGTTATTATCTTGTTGAAATTTCACAGTTCAAAAATTAGACAATCAGACTTAAAAATTAATAGACTAAGTAAAATCTAGATGTATTAGGTCCCAAAATGCAAATATGCCATACAGCAGAAACATGCATTTGTGCCCATAGAAGTGTATAGCCAATATGAGATAGCCAAAGACGAAAATAAAAGCTCACGTGCAAAAACTTTATACATATTCCCAGACTGAGGGACCAAGCTCAGCATTAACCCAACCTTCTCAACAGATGTGGATCACACAAGCATCATTTACTTTTCTGTGGGTCGCAGAGGTTACACAGAACATTGCTAATCTATTGGTTAAAGTCTGGCAACTAAAGTTACCTATTTTCAGTCAGCTTGCATGTTGGTATAAATGTAGACTAGACTTTGTTATCAAAGTTTAGGTACCTCAGTGCAGTGCTTTAACCCCCTTAGGCACTATATGAGCTACTAAGAAGAAAATTAACTATCTCAGCCAAAACTAGTACACTGAGCGTTAAAATTTAATTTATATTCTTTTGTCCCACAGACAAAGCCTAGGGACAGGCTATAGCATTTAGAGATTCCACCTATTTCCATCACCTAAAAGGTTTATTAGATTTTTTCCAAAAACTCTGTACTGTGTGCTAAGAAGACAGTATCACCTCTTAGGAATGGAACTCACCGAGAACGAGAGCGACTTCTTGATTTCCGCCTTTCCCTAGATCTAGACCGTTTTTTCAGGGGACTTCTGGATCTGCGTCTGTCCTTGTGTCTTGAGAGCGATCTGTTGCCAGATCTACTTCTATATGAATAATGTCAGAAGAAAAAAATTAATATTGAAAATTCATAAAAAACAGATCACCCAACCAAAGAAAACAACCATCAATCTTGTCTCACTCCACAAAAGTATATAAACAGTTACACCTCAGTAATACACTGTCCACCAACATTTTTGCAAATACGGATACTTTATGCTTCACCAGGTGCACACACCCTCCTTTGAAAGAATGCACCATTTAAGTAATACTCACGTTTCATAATAAACTCCATGAACATTCTGGAAAATACAGATTCAGGACAGCTGTCCTTAGTAAATTACAGTGTGTAAAATCTACTATAGACAATTTCTAGCAGCTTGTAAAAATAATCAGTTACATTTTGTTTCTTTTCTAGGCCCAGTCATTTATTGCAGCCTTGGTCACTGAAGAAAGATGGCTTTAAGTGGTCTCTTCTTGCTTTGCTCTCCAGCCTTACAATTTAAATTAACTTTAAAAAACAAATCAAAACAAAACAACCCCCCCCTACCTGTGGTTCAGCATTTAGTTAAGTTATCTTTTCAGCTGAAGGGATTTATTAGTGTGGATTTAAATTATAAGAGTTCTCAAGGAAAGGAATGAGCATTTACTATATGATAAATAAGGAATATAAATAATGTGCAGATACTCTGATGAAAATCTAATTAAAGTCTTCTGATAAACACATATAGTATAGTTGCAGATTTGATGAAGAAAGTAAGACTTAAAAAAAATATTATATTCTTTTTCCCCCACATATTCCCTATTTTTGAAGATCACACTCCCTAGGAAAGCAAAAATAAAAAGCTGAATTTGAACATTAAGTTTCAAAAAACCATATCACTGGACACTTTGCCTGAGAGGTTAGGGTGCCATGAAGTTTAACTTACCAAAGACAGAAAGGCCATGCATATTACTCAACAAATCCCGAAGACCAGGGAAGTACAAAAAATACCAGCTCCACCTGTCTTCTGCATCTCAAGACACACAGAGTAATATATACCAAGAGGAGAGGAGTGGCAACCGTTTTTTACCTGCAGCTTTGGTCCGCTTATCAGCACAGAAATACAAACTAACTACAGGGCAAATTAATTACAGTTGAGTGAAAATAAAATCTCAAATAAATTTTAGATCATATAGATGAAAACGTGTTAAGTATTTTATGAAACAATAAAACAGGGAAGGGGTAAGGCCAGTTTATTCTTAGGGACGAAGGTGCCTCCAGAGATCAGACTGCCCTTTTTTCAGCATGTTCTCAAAACTGACAGTAGCAGCAGGTAAATAATTAAAGAAAAAGAAAAACCAAAACAAAACGAAATATAATCATCAATAGTTGTTTGTGCTTTGCATAGGTTTTCCACAAGTGAAAACATGCAAGTTTATCTTCTAAAAATCAATTTGATTTCTGTCAATACAAAATAGTACTGGTATTACTGCAGTGTTATGCAAAACAAAGATTGTTTTTCAGTTACGTCCTGAGTTAGAGAAACAGCAGAGAAGCAAGCAGTAAGTGACCAAATTATTCTTCTCACATTAAAAAGTTACCTAATATTTTGATGTCATTAGATAATATGTACTGTAGTGTCTTGCTTACTGCAAAATTGAAGCCTACACTTATATCATAATTGTTTGGTAGCATAATTGATGATAACTCTCTCTGGCCAGCCTTTCCATATCTGAAAGAATTCTAGTTGCCTTGTTAAAAGATGATGCATTAAAAGATGTTAACAGAGTTGTTGCTGCAGCACCGAAAACACCTTTTAAAAGTGTAAGCTATTAACTTCATTCAGACTTTTTTTTGGATATTTAATGTAGCCAAGTATCTTTAGATTGATTACATAAATGCTCAGAAGACATTCCTGACATAGAAAGAATCTGAACCATTTCAGGAAATGTTTGTAAGTCTCACATAGCAAGACTGTCTCATTCTTGGAAAACACTTTAATGGGTATACTTAAAGGGTGATCTAGTAATTTTATTTCCTCCCATATTCCAAAGCCTGTTTCTGAACTGAACAAAATCTGAAGAATGAAAAACCATCCCTAAAGCCTTTTGCTTCTGCTTTTAAAAACCATAGCTTTAAATTTATGGTGCAGTAAATACAAATATTGCACTTGTTAACTCAGTGCTTACTTTCTACTCGCAAAACCAGCCAGCCTATCTGCTCAGAGTTGTTAACAGTAAACTACATGTTCAATCCACAAAATAAAAGCGACTATTTCTTTTTAAAATATAGGTCACAAAACGGTATTATGCTACATAGCACAAAAGGTACCATGAAACCATAGAAATGGTTATGCTACATGGCACAGAAAGCACATTCTCCTGTGACTTAACTGAAAGTAATCCTGAAAATTTTGCGTTTAGAAAAAAGTTCAAGAGACAAAGTTCTTGGTTACTCTGATCTGCTCAGTCTAAGTAATCATCTCTACAGGGATACTTGTCTTATAATTCAGTCAAAAATCTCAGTAGCCACCACCACTCAAAAAAACCCAGTAAGATCTCTTAGTCCAAAACAAAAACCATACCTACCTGTGTTTTGAGTGTGATCTTTTCCTCCTAGATCGGGATTTTGAGCTAGACCTGGATTCTGAACGAGAATGGGAACGCGATCGACCGCCTTTTCTTTCACTGCTCTTTCCAGACTCTGAGAGGAAAAAACCACTTTGCAGTGTAAGCTCAGAACATTTAAAGATCCCAGTTAACAATCTGGCACAAGTGGAATGTACCACATATAGTGCAAGGGGCCTACTCTTTGCACATCTTCCTTCTTTGCAAATATCCTTCAGAAACATCCAAGAAAGTCATTGCATATACTCGTTGAGTGCAGCCATCCTGCAGCAGTACACATAAACCAGATAATTATAAACAGCTAGCTCTATTAGGAATGGGATTTATGTTGCTGCCACAATGCACAAGATCACAACATGTTCTCCTCTTGGTCTATTATTTAATATAACTACTTCATTTTTTTAAATAACCTGAGAAGAACAGAGTAAATTTGAGGGCATAATTTTGAAAACAAGCATAAAATGTAAATAACAATTAGTATTTTCTATACTCTTAGATATTCATATGATTCTATGATATTTCAACCACTGTACAAATATTGAAGTTTTACTCCTCAAACACTGTTTTGCAGGAGGAAGGGATGAAGAGAACAGGGTTAAAAGTTTGATCCAAAGGCCAGGAAGTCAACAGAAACTTTAACAGTGACCTCACCAGACTTTGGTTCCAACTCTAAACAATTGTTACTCTGCTGCTTAACATTGAGAAAATCTTAGAGCTATTTTAATTCCAAACTTAAAAACCAACAGAAAATACTCACCCACATCCCCCAAAAAACACCCCTCAAGACTCTGCACTAGCTAACCTATGTAAGACAATGTCTGGGCTTGTTAGCAAGAATAATATCAAAATCTCGCTGATGAAAAATAAAAAGGAGGATCTCAACTGCAAGGCTAACAAGTTGAGAATTTTTTTACGGTGTCGTTTTGCAATATGTTTCAGTCAGCACAAATCAGCACTGAAACGTCTGTCTAACTTCTCAACCCACCAACAACCCTCCTCGACCTGGCATTTTAGTGTTAACAGGGATCAGAGAACCAATCTGGATGAAAAAAAAGTCCTTTACGATATGTTAAGTTTTATCCCAGATTCATTCTCTGGTCCTCTTTGCTATGAGGATGCACACAGTCTTGAGCCAGCATGTAAAAGAGCATAGCAGAAGGACAAAATTAACTTGCTGCAGATAAGGAAAGCGTAATACTATTGCTTTTGGATCCATGCTAGCTCCCTCTGATCATGAAGCTATGGCATTAATGGGTGCTAGAGGAGAACAAAACAAAACATAAAGCATTTATTTTAAAAGTTTGTTAACTACTTTGAACTTAAAAAGCACCAACATGAAGTATTAATTTAGTATTAACTCTGTATTTTTTAAAACATTCAGTGAACACGTATATGAAAATAAGACATGATGAAATAAAAAGTCAGCTTCACTCCACTGCTTTGTTGCATAAACACAATTCTGATTGTTTTCTTTTTTTCCAAACACATATTATATTGTTCACCTTTGAGTACTCTTTTCCAGTGTTTGAAAATGTTCTTAAAAGTATGTGCCAAGGTACACACAGAATGTATCTGTTAGGTAATTAACATAACATATCTACCTGGCTCAATAGCAGCAGATATGAAAGACTGGGCTTCCCTTACTCTCTTCATCACTTCTTCCAGTTCCTTGGCAGCAGCTTGTGGTGTCATTTCAGGAGGCTTCACTATTGCATTATTGGAGTGATTGATTCTAAGTTGAGGAAAAATATAACCTTTAAGTCCCGAACACTTGGAAAGGGAAAATGAAAAACACCTAAGAAAGGAAAACACCTCAACTAATAACTTTCAAAGTTCAGCAAAATACAGATTTGTCCTATCATCTATTCTAAGTATCTGAAATGTTTTTTACTGCTTTCAAATCTTAACACTTGTAAATAATAAATGTGGCACAATATTTCTGTGTTAAAATCCAAATCTCTATAGTAAGGCCTAGCAATTACATACACATTTTATATATAAATTATATAGATTAATTAGTACTAAGGACTTTGCAGCTTCTTTCTCTATTATAGCTTCTACTACCTCAAGATTAAATATAATTTTAGTCAATACCATCCATATCCTCAGAGAAATTTATGCCCAACCTTGAAATTGGGAGTTCACAAAAATGCTCCAGTTTGTTTAAATAGGTCCTTATATTGAAACAGTATTTGTCACAGCAGTTTCCTGCACACTAGAGTAATAAATGCATAAGGACACAAAGAAATCTCTCATTCAGTAGACATATGGATAATTAATTTCTTACTTGAGTGGCCTGTCTCCAAACATAACTCCATTAAAGGCAAGAGCTCGAGGTACAGAATTCTGGTCTGCAAATTCCACAAAAGCAAATCGCGTTGGTTGCGTCTCATCACCTGCCATTCGCACAAATTTGACTTCTCCAACTTGCTTAAAGAATTCAAGCAGCTGATCTGCTGTTGTAGTCTAGAAAGAGCCAAAGAACTCAGGTGAAGTAAAATATATAATGAAAATCACTTATCCAATATATCAGGCAATCTAAGAGCTACAGATTTTGGAAAGACATCTCATCATTATTACACAGGTCACATGAATTTGGTAATGTTACACTTTAAGAAAGACAGGTATCTTTTCTTCCATTAATCTAAAGAATATACTACAATTTAAAGTAGTGCAAGTCCTACATCCAGGTTAAAAAAAGCATTTGCATAGGATTTTGCATTTTTCTGGCAACTCATTTAAAATAACTGATGAGGCATTTCGTTATACACCTGTGTCCAAGCTACTGACTGTGAATTTTGATTAATTAAAAAAAAAAAAAAAAGGTAATTTTACAAGACTTAGTTTTTATCTGTTTTTCTACTAGCTTCCAGCTTGTTTTATTTTCCACTAGAGTAGCTACCTCGGCAGTCAAAAAAACCCAAAATAAAACACTTATATTGCCATCAGTCAAAATAGAATAGTTTTTCAATTAATTCAATTGTTGAAAAAATGAATTTTTGACAGACCTAGCTTTCCTGTTACAGACCCTCAAAGGTATTTATGCTAATTTTGCAATTTCCACTAGGACACATCATTCTGTTTTACTGTACTTAAGCAACTGCACAGTGTTGTGCGGGACAGCTACCATGATCTCAAGACTTCCAAGGCACTGTTCAGACAACACAACCCAGCTGGGAATTTGACCAACATACACAATCGTGAAGTGTTTTTCTTGAATTCGGCTACAGTGTGATTTCTCTGGTATCCTGCCAGAATGAATTCCATGGTCTGGTCTGATGTGATTGACACAGGAGCATTCAAAATTTGAAATGTCACTCGTGACCAAGAGAATATTTTGGTTTATTTGAATTCCTATTGTCACCAATTAACAAAAACTCTTAACAGGCAAGATTATAAATCACAAATTACAATTCTACGACTTCCATTAGTATTTCCATGACACACAAAAAAAAGCTACCTGGGAATTCAAGTTTCCAACGTAGACTGTTCTCCTTATTTCATCAATTTTTGATGGATCCACATTCCCCATAATTGGTGGTTGTGGTATTTCTCCCAGGGCTGTAATGTTAGGGTCTAATGCTGCTGCTGGTATAGCCCCCAAAGTGCCAAGAGAAACACCAAGCTGGAAAACACAAAAATAGAATATGCTTGCAACCAAGTTTTGGTGGAATATAATATACCTCACTTGTTAATACTTATCTACCTTGTGCACTTTGTAAAAAAAAAAAATTCTAATGAATATAGGCAACACTTTAAGATCCCAGCTGAGCCCTTTTTTTTAGAGAATAAAAATCTACCCATAAATAACCTTCTATAGTTAAGATTTTCTGTGGTTTATCAGTTAGCATTTTGTCAAAGAGGTCTGGCCAGTGAGGCAGTGTACCAATCCGAAAACACACAGACTTGAATTTCTAACACTTACAGTCAAAGAAATTTAGTAAGATCACCTCAGACACTGCTATGATTCCTATTTGTTTGCCACTACAAGTATTAGGAGTAGATGAGGAACTGCTGAGCCCTTGCTCAGCAAGAGAAGAAGGGAATTTTGCAGTGCCCAAGGCCAGTTTGTTGTGTAATAGGAATCAGTTCATCAAGGGACACATAAGGTACCTTTTGGACAAACACATAACGTAAGGCAAGATTAATTACAGTTGAAATGCGAAGGATATTAAGTCTAAGTTCTTTCCCTACAAACACAGTCACTTCCTAGAGAATGAGGACAATACAGCTCTCATGTTTGGAACTGGGAATTGAAATCTCTCCTGGGGCATGTTATAAAAAAAAGTCACTTAAAAATCACTACTAAATTGGTCTGCTGAGTTCCTGGTTTGAATTTTATTTTCTCTCCAGAAAAAAAATTTCTAAGAAGTGAGAGAAATTCTCAACAAGCCAGTAATTTTTTTTACTGTTACAAAAGAGAAAACTACTCTATTTTAACATGAAATTTTCCCTGAAAAGGTCAAAGGAGCCTGCTGATGCCAAGAAACGCTTACAGAGGCAAAAGGCAACTGAGCAGAAGTAGCAGCATCAAGTTCCTATGCTTTGTGTAGTGAGAACTGTTTGGCAAACAGTCAAAAGCCCTGTCATAGAGATATCAAGTAAAAGCACCCGAATACAGCACTTTAATATTTCAAAGAAGTGTGTCAATGTAACTATTATGTTTTAACAAATTTTTAGGAGGTGGACAGCACTGCCACTGGACCAAATTAATGGGTCTAGGGAAGGACAAAAATTAAAATGGACACAAGCAAAATCAGTATTTACTCACTATTTTGCAAAATAATAACCTGAAAGAAACACCCAGCAAACGTAGTGCATGGACCTCTTGTGATCTACCCTCAAAAGAGGCACTACAGCTAAACAAACCCTCACTGATGTAGCATACAAGAAAAAACGTCCACAGATCAGAGAGATCTTGTTCTCTGAATTCAGAAAAGGCTACTGAGTATAGAGCAAACCAGAAACCAAACAGTAACTGGATTTTACATACTGTAGTCAAAGGGGTTGGTGTAGGTATAGGAAGCAACCCTGCACCAGGCATCAGGCTTGTCATAGTAGGAGCAGGAGCCAAGAGAGAAAGGGCTTTGGCTTCATCTGGGATTTTACCTGAAGAAGCAAACGAAAGCATTACACAGAGTTCGAACGCTACACAGATGTTACTCTTTCTATGATTTTACAATTACCCTTTCATTTAAAAATGCAATAAATAACAACGAATCTATCTATCAGATCCTTACAAAGAAACAAATAAGAACTTAAGTTTTTCCTTTTACCCTGCTCTACTAGGAAAAACAAAAGTGAGCAAAACTTGAAAGACTAGCAATCTCATTAATGGATTATTACTTTAAAAACTCAATAATGTATACAATTATTTAACACTTTGAGCTATGGGTCACCTGTACTGGAAACTTAATGTTCATGAACCAAACGATATCAAGCATGGACGCTTTCCCAGGGCGGTGTTTTCGCGGTGATCGAAAGTTGTTTTACACATGACAACCGTTCGTGTTGGCTGCATCACTAATAGCACACAGAACATCAGATACAGAAAAGAAGAACATTTTTTAAAGTTTAATCCCCAGAAATGGCAAATAACCAAATCAGTAAAAGAAAAAAAATTTAAAAAGAAAATACAAAGTATGTGCTAACTGAAATTTGTGGTTTTTTTAAAATTCCTCTGGTGCTACCTACTTTGGATGTAAAAAGAAATAAAAATAAAATAAAACTACTGAACTACTGTGACTCCACACAACATAAACTACAAGTGAATTTGGAGGAGGGGAGGGCAGAAAAAATTTAGGTTTGTACTGTGTTATATTCTAGGTCACCTCAGTTTATAAGAAACTTTGATAAATTAGCTTTAAATTTACAGAGACTGAAAAAAATCATAAGTCATCAGCTAAGCAGGCTATATTTTCACAAAATACTATTTCCTACTACTTCAACCAGGTTATATTCCCCATGTCATGCTAAACGTTTAAGTAATATCTAATCTGTATTAAATGCAGGTTTCATTCAACATTAGTCACAATTAGACTGCTAAACGAATCCCCAAAAATCTTCAAAAATCAAAAGATTTAATAGTTAAACATCATTATTACAATTAACTGTACATATTAAACGAAGTGCAAAGGGATTTAATCTGATACAAAGGTTAAACACTAAACTGAAAAACTACAGAAAGTAAATTCTAATTATACTAGATATCAATAATCTATTCAAAATTACTGGCATAACTATATATATGCTCAGTCCAACTGAGCCCTTTGGTATTGCCCCATGCACTTCAATAAAGTAAATGCTTTTATTTAAACCTTGCTTTAGAAGTCAAGGGATATTCAAATACTATGCCAGCGCCTTTTACTGCTTTGGTTCAATGGTGTATGTTTTAACTATGAATAAATACATATAAAATATATAAATATTCTTATAAAAAAGCAAAATTTGAGATAGGTTTCAAAACACCGTGCAGTTTTGACTATATGAGTTCCAAAACACCCCACAGGAAACATACTAATTTAAAAAAACAAAAAGAAAAAAGTGTTGCAAACCGGTTCTACAGATCTGCAGCAAGGACTGGGTTACAGTTGGATATGACCAAAGGACAAAATAAATCTAAATGAAACTTAATTTATATGTAGCATGGGTGGAATAGAAAAGATAAAATAACAGTACCCATTTTTTTTCTCATGCTTCCTATTTATATTTATTTAATTCTGTTAAATTTTGAGGCACCTTGCTCCTTAACATGTAACAAACCACTTGATTTTGCTATCTAAAGGAGAAAAATAGGAAAATTATTAGCACTTAAGAATTAACTGTGCAATAATAACTTCCAGGGCTTTTTAAAAAACATGCATGAATCCGAGTCATCATCATAATGTTCAGCACTCTTTACAGATCTCATGTTGAAGTCAGGCATGCAATGAGAGGTGTACCTGATTTGCCTGACTGCTCATGAGGACCAGGTACTTTGCTGCACATCCTGCCTAACACGTAGCTAACTAACAGACTTTCGAATATACAGTTACAGCAGCTGTGCATGCAAATTAGGCATAGAATTATGTACCAGTTCTTCTGAAAATCTTAATTAAGTGTTTTCAAATGGCTAATGAACCAGATCTTATCCTGAACAGCTAGCATCTTGCAATTAACTGGATACTCATGAAGGTTTCTACAGGATCAACCAACAGGCTCAAGTAAATCCAGTGTCAGAAATTGCTTCTAAACTGCTGTGTGTGCATCCTAAGTTAGATCCTTGGTCAGTAACGTACATAAGTATATGCCTAATTTAGGTATGTGCTTACATATAGCCAGTTCAATACACCAGATAAGAGATGCTTAGGCATTTAGCCCTTTCAAATAGGAACCGAGTTAGGCACATAACTGAACAGACAATGAGTCAAGTTCAGAAAGGTACTTAAAATACAAGCCTAAACTTTAAGTATATGGTCATCGTACTGAACTAATTTGAATTGTCCACTTGCTCAGATGTTGCTGAAGGAATCGACTGAACACTTTTGCTTAATTGCACCATTATAGCAGTTCAAAGAATGAATCACATGCATATCTAAATTGTGAAGTTAGCAGCATTATTTCCAGAATACTTTGGTCCTTGCACAGTGTAATGCTTTATTTTAAATACAAATCTAGTTGGTCAGTTCCATGCCACAAAGAAAGATTCATTTATTTTACTCAAGAATGAGAAAGGGACTGACTCTATAGAACCCTGCGAAATTGCCTGTATTATTCAAAAATACTGTCTTTTCAAAAGATCCTTCTCCAGTTTTTAAGACCAGGTCAAACTTTTTAGCAATTCTATAGAAAACAAACTGTTGTGGGAAAAAAAATGGAAAAATTAAATATCTTGCACATTTACTTCCCAGTTCTTAAGACAGTTTTGAAAAACAAATTAATATGTGAGGCCAAATAACCTCACGAGTTACAGGCTTTAAGTTCTGGAGTTTTATCTCCATGAATTTGTTTATAAAAGGAATACCAGTCCACAAAGATACAACAAAATGTGGGTTATGACACAACAAATTAGGACACTTCAGTTTAAGAATAACTGTTTTGTTTTTTAGCCCATGGTATTTAAAAGCTGAATGCAAATGAGGTAAAGATATTAATTTTCTAATGAGGGAAACAGACAAAATCATTATATCTATACCACATCCCTAGAAAGATCTCTTAGAAGCTCTTGTGTTTAGTAAATTACAGATTCCATTATCATTTATTGATTCTTCACTTTACAAAGGAATCAAGAAGGAGATGCAGATTAGCTCTGCATTGCTAGAGACACCTTATGTTTCTTGTTAGGAAAAGTACAGTTGTCCTAAATATCAACTACGACTGTTACTTTTTTGTATCATCAAAGTGCTTAAGAGCCCTAGTCAACCTAGTCCATACCAGACTCCTTTTTGCTGAACACTGAACAGAAGTATCTGAGTTAGGCAAGTACTAATCATAGTATTTTTATCCTCCCATAAATGCTCAGAAGAAATTAATTTCCTGCTTCGTTAATCATCCCCCTCCAAAACAGCTTCGGCAATAAGTAAGTTTGCTTGTTTTAAAAATACAGTTCATATCTACACTAAATATAATTAAAGGAGTTGTTATTTTCCTGCTATTTCAAATCAATGGAAAACACACACAGATAAAATAATTTCTGTGTGATCCAATTAATGATTCTTATTGGATTCAGCAGCAGCAATTAAAGATATTACACTTACTATCAATTATCTCAACTGCCACGGCTAAATCCAACAGAGATCACGCAGCAAAGCTCTTCCCATCTGCAATGCACAGCCTGGTGCATTACCAAAGTGAAACCAATTGATCCAAATGCAGCTGACTGTGAAGAACACAGCTGGGAAGAGCAGAGCTTGAAAACTAGACACACCACCCAGTCCAGCACTTCTGTTTCAGGGCTTCCATTTCAAAAGAAGTAAGAACACCATTTAGGGATGAGAACCTTCTCAAGCACTCCACCATGAACTGCCAGGGCTTCTGAGATTGTGAGATGACCGAGAAGTCACTTCTTTCTCTTTCCTTCTTTTTTTTTTTTTTTTTTTAAATCCTCTTCTTGAAATCACCACCACTGGAGCATGTCAAAGTGCAATATACACATACATACACACACGCACACAGAACTGATTCAATCTTCCAACAAATAACAGTGTTAAAAGACAATGTGCCTCACACAACACATTCCAACCAAAACCTCAGGGTGCATTTGTACTTATGAGTGGTAAACAGTTTTTTCTGAAAATTACAAAAACAAAAAGGATGAAATCTTACTACCATTGACCTCACTGGAGCAAGGTTTCATCAGAAGCAAACAAGTATTTCATGGCATTCAATATTCATGAAAGTTCAATTTCAGAAATAATTATTTTACACTCTTCATATTAGACATAAATAGTAAGCCTTCTTTTAAAGACCGTACAACCTAAAATAAAACTACTCTGCTGACAAAAGGAAAAATAGCAGAGAAAGATAATGACTTTACACTGTAAAGTTAATTTCTCCAGAAGAAAGAGCTTCAACTGTCCTTTGCCAAGATAAACTCATAAAGCATAACATATGAAAGAACGTATCTTAAAGCTGATATATTTTTCCACTATTCCTGTCTTCTGACACAATATGCTCATCTGTTGAATTTAGATGCTTAAACGTATTCCAAATCAAATTTATCCGTAATTCACAGCACAAATAAATTGTGTATACCATCCACCATTCATAAGCAGCTTCAGGTCAACTTCAAAAGGAAACACTGTGAACCCTTTACAAAACACCATTTTTACAGAACTGAAGTACCAGTTCACAAGCACAAGGGAAAG